TCTTCAGGTACATGTATCAATTCTTACCTTTCTTATGCTTCTCAAGACAAAATTGAAATTCAAATTCTAAAGTAAATTCAGATAAATGGGGAGTGAAATCCTGTTTAAAAATGCTGATTTGGTAGTTTTTATTGGCCAACAAAATGTTTAATTTTCAGTCATCTTCAAAGTAGGCCTTAATGTATGGCCTATGAAAGTCATCACATTTCTGAACAACTACCATTGGAACAAAGTTGGGAAACAACAGGGTGCAAATGCTATAAATTGCTTGAGTATCATACGTGAGGATATTGATAATCAGTACGATGCAATGAAAGAGGATCAGTCATCATGTAAAGGAAAGTTACTTTTTGTCTAAAAAGGAGTCACGTTATAAAGTGAAGGATTCCTATCACTTAATTTTTATAAATACATGTAATGCTGGGGTCACCTTTTAAAGTTTCTATGCAATGCAATGTTGATACCACCATAATTGAAATGTGTTTCAATCAATTACCTGCTTCGGGCAACAGTTTTCTTTTCTTAAGATTTTGTTTCCTTTTTTATTCCCCTTTTTCTAATTTTCCCCATAGACATAAAACGGGGTTGTTCTACACATGACTTTGCCCCTTCCTTATGGCCAATCCCCTTCAAACCTGTCACACAGATAGACTACTATCTGAAAATGTTCACAGAAGCATGACATCATCGTGACATCATCACCTGATTTATTATGGAATTTTGAATATTTAATATTTCCCCCTTTGTTTTGTACACGTTTTCAAAGTCCTTTTGGGCCACTTGGCAATCTTGCAACTTCATCAAAGTTTAAAGCACAGACGAAAGCCTAAGACATCAAAAAAGTTTTACAAAAATCATGATGACGTCATCACGTTTCAAATTACAAGCGCTTACACTTTTATTTATGTTAATTTGTCAAAATTCCATATTAAATAAATTATGACCTCCCCCAGCTTGCTGTTTGCACCAATTGATAGAGAATTCTTTGGTTTCTATTTCTTTTCGGGTATGTAAAATCATGTGACCCTTAGTTCTGGTCGAAACTGGTCAAAACCGTGCTTTTTCATTAAAATTTTGTCAAAAGTGCTTCGTCATTTAAATTTGATAATAGATAAAAACCTACTTTCAATGGTGCTTGCCTCTGACACAATACTTTTTCTCTAAACATGCACCTGTGACGTCATGCAACACTTGAGCACCATCTAACTGATCAGTTGAAAAAAAATTCAGAAGTATATTTTGAAGAGATGTCTGTGGTGAAGTGTGCCAGAATCCCTTGAAAATTGGTAAATACAATGACCCTAACATCTGTAACCTTTCTGCAAAAAGTCGGGCTGATGACGTCATCAGACTGGAAGTTATAACGAAAAGACTTTTAAATCATTAAAAATCCCCCAAAATTCTATCCCAGCCAAAGTAAATATCTGCACCCATTTTCTAAAGTGTTTGGCTGGTTGCACTGTTCATACATGCTGTGCATGGACTATGGAAAAATTTGCCATCTGCTGAAAATGCCGGCAGCTTGACCCGTACAGGTAAGAGCCATAGTGGTAAGAGCCATATGCTTTGTACATGTAAAGTGTGTAATGGAGGTCCGCTATTTGGGGGGAATATGGCAAAATGCCAAGCACATGGGAGGGAAAGCATGTGAATGTGTATTTTCATGCTCTACTGTAGCAAGGAGGATAGTGGTCCCACATACCCAAATTTGTTTTCGGCCTACTCCGTTCTGGTAAATGCACTCTAACGTCTGAAGAGCATGTATGATTGGGCCCTGCATATACAAGAGTGTTCAATTTTGGACTGCAGACTTAACGACAGCCGTTCGATTCCTGCCCGTTCCACATTCATGTTTTCCAAACAACTCTGTGTTTACACAATGTTCGTCTTGTTTTTTTGCTTTTCCGCAAGTTTTGGAAAAGGCATTCTTTTTGCCAAGATTTTTAGCTTTTTCGCAATTTTGTGAAAAAGACATTCTATTTGTTCTGTTTCTTTGGGCGTTTCCGCAAGTTGCGGAAAAGGAATTCTTTTTGTCAAGGTTTTTTTTTCTTCTTTTTCTTCTCCTCCTTGTTCTTCCATCAAAACCCCGTTATTTTGTACACGTTTTTTCTGCCAAGCCCCTTAGTCCCTTTGCAAGTTTGTATCTTCAGAGTTGCACAAAGCAAAGACCCTGTGGCAAAGATGTGCCCCAAAGAATGACGTCATGATGATGTCATCAGCTTATTTTAATAGAATTTTGAATATTTAATTAGCTCCACAGGTTTTGTACACGGTTTCAACAAGCAAATTTCAGAACTTTTATAAATCAAATACTAGGTATATACTCTTAGTCCACCAGCTAAAATGTGTCTCGAAGCATGTCATCATTATAACGTCACCTTGTTATTTTTTTATCGATTTTTGAACGTTTTATTTTTCCAAAAACTATAGGTTATGTGCACGTTTTGCAAAAGCCAGTCTTCGGCACTCTGGTCAATTGAACTGATTCCTTTTGTCCACACTCCTAATCCACCATGAAGAGAGGGTCCTGGAAAAAATTGTCAAAATGACATTGTCAGGGGTCATGTGGCATGAGATTAAAGCTGCAGTTTTTCTCCATAGGTTTTGCACAAGTTTCTCTACAACACACTATTATTGATCTTAATGAGCGAGTAGTCCTCAACTTCTGTTCAAAATTACTATGAGAACTAAAGAGAAATTGTATGTTTTGTGCTCTGTTGTTCGATTTGAAATATACCCAAGAGTCAGAAAATCAAGCAATATTTCATGAAAGATTCCAGTTTAAACGCAAATCATGTGACTTGAATTTAAAGGTGCAGTTTTTCTGCACAGGGGTTTTTATAGCCCATTGACTTCGTACATGTTTTCAAGGCACCATTTTGCTAATTTAGCAAACTTCAATTGTCATCAACAGGCAACAAAGACCCTGATACAAAAATTACGCCAATTTTATGACGTTATGATGATGTCACCTTGTTATTTTGTATTGATTTTTCATCTTTTATTTTTTCCCAATTTTATACATCTTTTTTAACAACCATTCTGGGGCAGCATTATTGATATGACTGACTGCATATGCATTTTAGGTACAAACTTCAAAGCCTTGTACACGTATCTCCTAAAGTACATGTACATGTCCGATTTAGCTGAAACCTTCCAGGTATCTAGGAAGGGAAGTATTAAAGACATTAGTTGACCTCATGTGATGAAGACGTCATCACATGAAAAGTCACGTGACATAAAAGGTGCATTCTTTGAGACCCTTTATCTCCTGAAGTACATGTCCCATCGCATTGAAACTTTGCAGGTATCCTGTAGGATGTAGAAAGGCCCTGTGGAAAAGATGTGCCGCAAAGCTTTTCGTCATGATGATGTCATCATGTGATTTGTTATGTTATTTTGAATATTTATTTTGAACCATTCATTTTGTACGCACATTTTAAGGGTCATTTTTGTTACTTGGCAGTGATGTATTTTCATCAAAATTAAATAGGAAGACCTAAGAGCTAAGTTTACTCTGTTTCGCTTACATCATGACAACGTCATCTTTTGATTCATTATTAAATTTTGAATATTTTATTTTTCCCATTGACTTTGTACAGTTTTTGGTCAATTAGCACTCTTGGATCCTACTGGATCCTACTGACAGTTACACTAAAGAAGGACTGATATGGATGACATGGTCCTCAAATTTTATCAAGATGATGTCATCAGGTTTAAAACTACATTCAGACAACGATGCTTAAAGTTTAATTATTAAAAATCTGTATAAAATCAATCATGACTT